CTCTGCACGCGCAGCCGTTCTTGGTGGCGCCGCTCAGCTTTGGCCGTCCGCACCGGGGCACCGCTTCCCAGGGGTGGGGGGGACGCGGGGCTCTGCCTGGGGAAGGGACAGAACGTGCTGTGTGTGTGTGGGGGGCACGTGGGGTGAGTCGGGGGCATCTGGTGGGCAGCTGCTCACCTTGAGGAGGGGCTCAGGCCGGCCCAAGGTGGCTCCTCATCCTCCTGTTCCTCCTCGCCCAGCGCCTCCCCGTCCAGGGCGAGCCCCGCTTCGGCCCCAGCCTCTGCCACGTCCCGCAGCATCTGCGCTCTCTTCTGCTGTAGTTTTCTGGCTGCCAGAGGGCAGGGTGGGTCAGGCTGGGCCAGCCTCGACCCGGCCCCCACCCCACTTCCGTGCCCCTCACCTTCCTCCTCCTGCATCTTCCGCAGGTCATCAGCACCCACCAGGGACACACGCTTAGGAGGGCCCTCAGCTTGGGGCACGCGCACCTCCAGCTCAAAGTACTTCTGCCGCTCCCGGAAGGACAGTTGCTCCGGGGAGGCTGCAGGTCCAGGCGTGGGGGGCTGGGGGGAGCGCACCTTGAGGTTTGGCTGGCATTCCTCCGGGACACTGGGGCCCCTGAGCACCCACCCCAACCATGCGCAGCAGGGAGGGGTGCTGCTCCCACACACCTGGGCGAGGGCGTCCTCAGGAGGGTGAGAAGTGGGCACGGCCGCGAAGGCCCTGTAGGCCTGCTTCACATTGGCGGGCAGCTCATCCGGGGAAGGCGGGGAAGGCGGCTGGGGGGTGGGGCTCCTGTGAGCTACGCTGGGGCAGCTGTCAGGGCTGCAGCTGTGCTCAACTCGCCACTGGCTGTCCCCACTGCCTGCCTTTGATCCCCACCCACCATCCTGCTAGGGAAGGAGGCTCTGCCACCCCCACCCATGGGACAGAGCACTCACGGAGTGGGGACAACCTCTGCCCCTCAGGGCTGGGGAGCCCCTTGGCCACGCCTGAGCCAATGGCTGGATCACCCCTGGTTTTGTCTAAAAAAGGCAGGTGGCAGTGGCGGGGGAAGAG